AATAGAAAGGGGATCTGGGTTCTCTAGCCTTGCGTGACAGCCAGTCTAGGCGAAAGATTGCTCTGAATTCAAAGCCATAGATTTATTAAATTAAATTATTCAACACTAGGAAAAACTAACCAAAATGCTTACCGTTCATTTTCTACCCGATCTGTTTAATATATAAATTCTTATATTCCATAAAGTTCAATAGACTTAACTGATTGGCCAATTATTCATTGAATATTATTGGTTATTAAATATTATAGTTTTAGATATCTATTGAGCTAATTTTCTATCAATCAGAGAAACTAATCCTTAAACTGAAGTGTGTTCTACCAATTAAGCCACGAGGGAAGACATATATTGAGAGATTTTTGTTTATTTTGCTGATCTAAAAATGTTAAATTCTAGTAATTTTTACGTATTTTATATGTGTATTTGAAGTGTATTATTATTAGTATAAGTTCTTATATATAGATAAACGACACCTATGTATTATATACTAATATCAAAATATAAATCTGAGCCACTGACGTTTCAAAATATCTCCATTTCTGAAAGAATTATTACTTTCTCAAGGCAACATATATTTTTTTAAAATAATTTCACCCTAAGCAAGGCGAGAATGCCACTAGTACACAAGGGTTTTACAGAGAGTGAAGGAGAGAGAAAAGACTGGTTATAGAGGGGACCGAGGAAAGGTAAAATAAAAGTTGAACGGGGTTCAAGAAGATAGAAGATGGCGAGTGACGTTGCATTTAAATTTTTGTAGGTTGTAGTTATCAGGGAAGCAGGTAAACGGATGGGAGTTCCACAGTCGGTAAGTGCGAGAAAAGAAACTGTTGGTGTAATAGTGACGGTTATATTTACTTAATTCAAAGGAAAAAGAGTGGGACATAGATGACAATCTAGTATCACTATTAAACACACGTAGTCCAAGTAGCATGGAAAAAAAGCTCGTCAGGGCAGTTGTCATGAAAATATTTGTAGAAAAGACAGAGGGGAGCCATATGACTATAAAAATGTTAAAAAAAAATAAAACGGTTAAATTCATAACATAGAATAATTTCAAATTAAAATAATTTAAATATTAATCTGCATACACTACTCACTCTTGTTTATTAGACATTAAATTATGTCACTTAGCGTCCTCCATAACTTACCTAGACATTTTAGCTAACATGATGAATATTTATAGGCGTTCCTTAAATTTAAAGAATTTGAAAAACCAACATTTTTGCTCTTGCCTATAAATTCTTGTTACAAAATAAAATTATTGCATTTGTATTATGCAACATTTTCTGTTTTACAGTAATAAATATTATTTTCCTTAATAAAGTTTCTCGTGGGACGAAACACGTCGGCTAATATAAGTGTTTTTTTTGTTTTTATTTACGTTGACATTTCACATACTTTATCCTTTTTTCATACAATTAATTGTGAAAAAAGAAAACTAAAAAAAATATCCAAATATTAAAAACTCTAATCATAAAATTAAAAAAAAAAACACCATAAAAAAAGAAAACAAAACGAAACTAAACAAAAGCTCCTCCTATGGTGAAAATGTGGTTTCAAATGTATTCAAGAATTGTCGATACATTTAGCCAATGAGGAAACTCAATGTCAGTCACTTGTGTGTGACGTCGCTATAATCGTATAACGGTCAACACAGAAGTTTGAAAGAATCTGCCTATGAAAAAGACGCCACGCCTACATAACCTCAGATCATCGAAAGGGCCATAAGTTTGGTTGAAAGTCCTCGATCACAAACATTTAGACAATATCTATAAGTTCTTGTACATAAACAAAAAAGGTCACTTAAAATTAAACTCGTTTCAGAGAAAAAATACTGCCTAAACACACACACACACACACACACACACACACACACACACACACACACACACACACACACACTAAGAGGCACCTATATATGCCAAACAAGGATTGCATTTCGTCAAAAAGCAGTCGACCGGGGTAATTCTCGATTCTGATTGATTGACTTGTTTTTTACGGTTTATCAACACTTTGCAGGTTATTTAAAGTTGGAAAATAATTTTAGATTGTAAAAATGTTTTGGAAATAATAATGATTTGCTTATACAAGTCCTACTAATTAACACCGATAGGCATCTGCCTATATTTCATACATAGATGTCCTCAAGGATACATGGTGCAGTGAATAAAGGCGTTGGTTAGATCCAGTAATCCGTATGGAATTTCCAGGAGGATATAGATCGAGTGAGAGCTCTATGTCAAAAGACAGAGCAAAATTATTATTAATTAAAGAATATCAAACACTTAAAATTCCATAAGTAATAATTTTTATTTCATGAGAGCTCTAAAAAAGCTCTCAATTTTCAAGACCTACAACATCACAAATGAAATAGAAAAAATATTCCCGGTTAAAATCGAGACATATTGCTATCTTATTTAGAGAGTGGGAAAAGACCTATTTTGATATACTGACCTGATTTAACCTTAGTATGTCATTTGAGGAAGGGAGAAGGGCATAAAGTAAATTTAGTTTGTGAATTGGAAACCATCCTGTCTGGTTCTGTCAACGGCCAACATTCCAATACTGATATATTTCATTCAACAAATTACTTATAAATAATATTAAAAGAGGTAATTTTTAAAGATTGCGAAATAAGCGAAAAGATTTTCACAATCTTTTTATATAAATAACCAAGAAATTTAAATTAAAATACTTAAGAGATTTGAATTAAATGACTATTAATTAGATTCAGAGAAAACTTATAAAGGTTATATACCTAGAGTCCTGAACTTTTATATCCTAGATGTATTTATTAATATTTAGCAGAATGTACTTTAAACTAAGGAAAAGTTAAATCGGGGTTAATCCCCTGTATTTCATTCAACAAAATCTCTGTAAATAATATTAAAAAAGTGTCTGGTTCAGAACATTTTGAAATTTTTTTCGAAATTAGCGACAAAATTATTTTAAAAATTAAATGTAAATTAGTATAAGCTTTTTGTATAATTAACCAAGAAATTTAAGTTAAAAACCCAAGAGATTTAAATTAAATGATTTTTAATTATAATCAGAGAAACATATTTATAAGGGTTATATATCTAGAGTCCTGTATATATATATATATATATATATATATATATATATATATATATATATATATATATAATTCGCTAGCTTGGTTTCAGTCTTACGGTATCCTAAGGCGATTTTTTATCAAATGACCACCTAACGCTTTTTTATTTTTTTTAAAAAAAGTAAAGAACGCTATTTTATTTTCTATTTTATTTCTATTTTATTTATTTTCAAAAATAAATAAACAAACGCACGTTAGGTGCAATAGAAAGGGATGGGGAGTATGTGAAGAAGCAAAAAGAAGAAAAAGAAGAAGGGGAAGAGAAGAAAAAAAGTGTATTGCATCTGAATCGGGGAGGGGGGGGGGGGTTAAATTACATTTTATGTAATTTAACCCTCCACCTATGCATTTACAATACAATTTTTTTCTTTTCTTCTTTCTTCTTTTTCTTCTTCCTTATTTTTATTAAAAAAAAATTCTTATTAGATAACAGTTTACAAATTCTAGAACCAACAGTAATTGGTATCTGCTTCAAGATAGTATTGGGGTGGTTAGAGTCAACGTTAATATAGTTAGGGGTTTCATGTTCCTTATGGTAAGGTTTACATATATTAGTATTCAGGTTAAGTGTGATGCCCAGACAATCAACGATTTTAATATTGGAAGTGATCTCTAGCTTAAACTCGAGTAGCTTAAAAGCTCAAATAAATTTTTCCTGTAATTTTACAGTAAGAGGACTATTACTTTTAGGAACATAAATGAATCCATCATCTCTATATAGATCTATTAGCTTAGGTTCAACAATTCTACTAAGTACCTCGTGAATATATAAATATACAAATATTGTGGCGAATCATATGCTATTTTCGATCCCTTTTCCATGATTTGTCGTCTTTTACTTCCTTTTTTCTTTCCGGGTTCTTAATTAATTTTTTTTAAAGTTAGGCTTCATATTTATTTTATTTAACTTTTTAGTGTTGATAAGCTCCCGAAGAAATTTTTTTCCTGCAGAGCGAAATGGCCATTCAGATGAGGCATTTTTGAATTTTATATATATATATATATATATATATATATATATATATATATATATATATTGTGTGTGTATGTGCCTGTTTGGGGATATTGTGGCACAAAATGTGCATCATTTCATTCTATTTAGTTCCGAAAAGTGTAGATGGTTCTGTACAAACCTTCGCCACGATAATCAAATCATATGTGTAGGATAGTCTGCTGACTGTTAAGTTCTAGGAACCGAACTGGGCGACGGTAGAATCCATCACACTTCGGCTTAAGAACTGGTCTCACTGAGATAAAAAGATGGGATACAGGTTCGATTCCTGTCGTAGGCAGGAATTTTTCTTTAGTAGGACTTCTCAATTTATGTCGGTTGTTATTAATTTCAATGGTTAATAATTTAAAAAAAAGGGATAGAAACTTAAACACGTGTAAATAAATTTTATAGTAAAATAAATTTTATATAATAATAATTTTATATATATATATATATATATATATATATATATATATATATATATATATATATATATATATATATATATATATATATATATATATATATGATATATCCTATCTATATGCTCATGTATGCATGTATACTTGGGCAGCAACCTTTCTTTAAACATCTTTCGTTAAATATAACGGACAAGGGCAATTTTATTCACTTTTTTTTAGTTTTTTCAGTTTTGTAAATATTTGTGGTTTTAATTTGTTGATTCTTTATTTACAAAATGATTTAACAAACTTTTCATGACTTACTACGAAGATTTAAAATGTAAGTTTCTCACTAATATGTATTAGTTCAGATTTGCGTGAGCTAAGTGTAAAAATTGATAATATACACACATTTATTTTAATGAATTTCTGTAAAACTCCAAAATGTACGACTTGAGGTTTGTCCATTGTTTGTCCCGAGTCGAAAACAGCTGTTTAATTCCATTGCACGCAGAAAGGGGAAGGCTATGAGAGGCAGCGGCAGATGAAAGGCTTTATAATTTGTTTAACTTTGATCTTTTTATTTAGAGTACTATTTACAGACAACCAAACTGTTAATCCAATGCAAATAAAGCAGATTCTTTATTCCTATCTAAAGGATATACTAATGGCTCTCAGTGAAAAAAAATGAAACCACAAAGCCGAGTTCGAATTCCAGGTTAGTTGCTTGCGTTCACTTTCACACCAATGCTCTTAGGAAAAGCACCAATCCGTATTTTCTTCCTGTCAGCTAGTGCTCTCTAGCCTTGGATGGCAATCAGATTAAGAGAAGGAAAAAAAAACATAATTCCAAATTATGGAGAAGGCAACGGTAAGCTACTTCAGTATCTTTCCTAAGGAATTATAGTAATTCATAGATGATAAAGAAAAGGAATCTGTGGAGGGCCATGATCGCCTACGCTCTGGACGGACATGACCTTCAAAAATCTATAGATTTATCCATATTCTGTTATCATTGAGTATATCAACAGATTGTCTATCAAAAATACTTTTGGTCATATTCTTTCTGCTGAATAAAAATATTTGGTTTGGTTTGGCTTATTTTACGGTATATCAACCTCAATGGATTATTTAATGCCGACAAGATTTTTTATTGCTAGTAATTTTTTTTTCTTCAAAAAATGTATTGCTGGTATTAAAATCTGTTTTTACACTTTCATAGTGATTTGACCCCGGTTTTCAGATTAACTCTTTGCCCATAGCTGGGACCCTAACAGGTGCTACCACCCCGGGTCAGGGTGGACCTGGGGACACCAGCAATTAAAAGGTGATTCCAGTTCCTCAACTCAATAACCCCCCTTTGCGTCTTAGCGGATTTATTGCCTTACTTGGTGTGAATGGGTTAAAAAATGATTATGCACATTATTCTCTAGACGTAATTCTGTGTGATTTTTACTTATTTCGAAAATTGAAAGATGTCCTGACAGGACAAAGATTTACTGAATTTCCTCATATCTGGCAACACGTGACTACATTGTATTCCGGGAAACGATTTCCAACAATGTTACCAGCAAACATCTTACGACGGGCATATCTTCAAAAGGGTGGACGTCGAGGGTGACAGAAGCCAATATTGACCAGGTAAGTGTGACAGAAGCCAATATTAACCAGGTAAGCAAACTTTGTTTTCACAGCGATATTCCTGGAATGAATTTTTCACTTATCATCTTAATAGCCAGAAACGTGTGTTTGAATGTGGTGTATGTCGCATTAACAGTGGTATTTCTGAAGCACACATGTTTCGAACTAAAATGACTGAACCGTTGATATTACGCATTCAAGTCTTAACGAGTCAAAATGGTCTGGCTTAAACATATTTTCAAACTTCAAAGTTGCGTATTAGAAATAATAACATCATCGACCTGGTAAATGTGATTTAACTGCTAAATCTACCTGGGGATATTACTTAATTTTCTAAAAAAATCAAATCCACCAATTATTTTGGGGGTAGCCAAAAACGCCACCATCTTGATCATCAACTTTAGGATCGTAAATATTTAGTTGACGAAGTGATAGAAAATAGCCTTTCCTCATCAGAGGCTGTCAGTACAAATCTGCAAGTAAGAGCCAGCGAGATGTACATAAAATATGATTGATTTACACTTGTAGTTAATAACATTTAAGTATCTAATAAACATGCCCCCTCTATCTATCTATCTATCTATCTATCTATCTATCTATCTATCTATCTATCTATCTATCTATCTTTTTCAGTTTGTTCATATCTATCTATCTATCTATCTATCTATCTATCTATCTATCTATTTCAGTTTGTTCATATCTATCTATCTATCTATCTATCTATCTTTTTCAGTTTGTTCATATCTATCTATCTATCTTTTTCAGTTTGTTCATTCTATCTATCTATTCTTTTCAGTTTGATCATATCTATCTATCTATCTTTTCTATCTATCTATCTATCTATCTATCTATCTATCTATCTATCTATCTATCTATCACAGTTTAATCATATCTATCTATCTATCTATCTATCTATCTATCTATCTATCTATCTATCACAGTTTGATCATATCTATCTATCTATCTATCTATCTATCTATCTTTTTCAGTTTGTTCATATCTATATATCTATCTTTTTCAGTTTGTTCATATCTATCTATCACAGTTTGATCATATCTATCTATCTATCTATCTTTTTCAGTTTGTTCATATCTATCTATCTATCTATCACAGTTTGATCATATCTATCTATCTATCTTTTTCAGTTTGTTCATATCTATCTATCTATCTATCTATCTATCTATCTATCTATCTATCTATCTATCTATCTATCTTTTTCAGTTTGTTCATATCTATTTATCTATCTATCTTTTCAGTCTGTTCATATCTATCTCAGTCTGTTCAGATGTATGTATGTATGTATCTATCTGCGTTCATATAAATATATATATATGTATACTCAGTATTATATATTCAGATATATATTATATGTATTCATATCTATATATATATTCACATTTATGTCTGTTCATATCTAATATATATATATATATATATATATATATATATATATTATATATATATATATATATATATATATATATATATATATATATATATATATATATATATATATATATATATATATATATATATATATATATATATATATATATATATATATATATATATATATATATATATATATATATATATATATACATATATATATATATATATATATATATATATATATATATATATATATATATATATATATATATATATATATATATATATATATATATATATATATATATATATATATATATATATATATATATATATATACATATATATATATATATATATATATACATATATATATATACATATATATATATATATATATATATACATATATATATATATATATATATATATATATATATATATATATATATATATATATATATATATATATATATATATATATATATATATATATATATATATATATATATATATATATATATATATATATATATATATATATAAAAGATCGACTGTATAATGTGTGCAAACTATTGAATATTTATACTAGAAAGGGAATTGATCGAAGTGTATAGCGTGTGTAGAGTTGATATCAGTCATTTACCACATAAGCCCTGACCAATGCCCTTTTACATAAATCCAATAAATAGTGAAATTCATCTCTTATATCAATCCTGCTTTAGTTAATTTCTACCAGAATTCGACGCATCTTTCTTTCCTCGTTCTTAAGATTTTCTTAAATCATCTTATTGCGTAGTCGCTGTTCATGGCTCCGCAAAACAATTCAACGTAGCTTTATTGATTGTTGATCTCGTCCAGCCGACACATCAAAAACACAGACCGACGTTTTTTTTTATTCTAGTCACGCGTAGCTGCACACGACATTTAGGAATAAACCCGATTGGTATTGAGATGTACGTGTCTAAGAGGACAAAACCAATCACATGACTAATCAGAAAAGGAATTATGAAAAAAATCAAAAGCAAATTGCCATTCGTTGTTGCTTAGAATATTGCTGTCACATATGGTCTGGTGCTCTTGTTATTTACCTTGAGATCCTTGATAAGATCTATAGAAGAATCTGCAATATTATTGGTCCTGATCTGGCGGCTCAGCTCCAGTCTCTTTCCCGACGCCGTAAAGTTGCCTCTCTGCCTTTTCTATGAATACTTTTATTGTAGTTGTTCGAATGAACACTTCACTATGGTACCTACATTTTTTAAAATTTAAGCGCAGTATCAGACTGGCGGTGAGTTCTCATCAATTTATAGTTGAGCTGGATAGATGTAGCCGTACATTCTATGCTGAGAGTTTCTTTTCTCACACTTCTCAGTTGTGGAACTTCCTTCCGGTTCCATGCTTTCCAGGCAACTTTAATCTGCAAAAGTTTAAATGCAATGTCAATCTCGATCTACTGTCGTCCTGATTACTCTTTTCACTTTCCACTCATTATCAATATCTCTGTTCCTAATTCTTCAACATCCTTTAGTAGTTTGTTACTCCGGGTTTCACGCTTGAAACCCGGTGTTACAAACTATCCATATCCATATATATATATAATATATATATATATATATATATATATATATATACCCAAGTATAGGATTGGGGTATATGCAATAAATTCCAATAACCCCAAAAATACTATTCTTAAAAGAGTGCTCAGTACAGAGTAGAGCAAATATATTTATTCGAAAATTATAACATATATATATAACATATTTATGTTATAATTTTCGAATAAATAATTATATATATATATATATATATATATATATATATATATATATATATATATATAACATAATTATATATGTATATATAACATATATAAATATATATAACATATTTATGTTATAATTTTCGAATAAATAATTATATAATACATATATAACATATACAACACAATTTATATGAATATATATAGCATATATAACATATATGTAACATATTTAACATATTCATGTTATAATTTTCGAATAAATTTATATATATATATATATATATATATATATATATATATATATATACAGTGAAGAGTATTCTAAAATTGATTTTTAATGGCAGTAATTGATTAGACACATTGCATTTTTTAATTATGAAGGTGATAAATTATTTCCCACCTTACAACCCTTTCCCAACAGACGAGACATCGATCGTAAAGCTTCTCGATGCTCTATCACTATTTCCATGTAAAGTGTTCAGATGAACTACATTTCTTGGCTCCACCATGTCCATAGCCCTCACGGCTAAGACCCACAATGTCACGCACATTTTAGCGAGCTACTTTAATTTCATTCGTATTCCCCCAAGTTGTATGTCCCACTTGTGCAGCTTCATCACACGGACCGCTACCTCACGAACCAAATTCCAAGAGGATGCCTCTCCGAACACTACTATCTGTTCAAGTCTCGGGTTAACTGTTATCTTCCACGCATATCCACATAAACGGTGTCTCTCCCTCTCTAATCATTTACATCGAGTGGTCCTCGGGTTTTACACGGTGAAGATCATTGTAGAAAAAAATTATTCCAAGATCCCGATTTTGAAGGGAGATAGATTTCCTTCATTTTCGTGAGTTTTATTATTTTGCGTGGTCTAAAACCTATTCTATATTTTCGAGACGTCATAATTAGACAAAATAGAACGAAAAAAAAAATTAAAAGTAAAACATGAAAACTTATCGAAGGGAAGATAAATTAAGAAAATAAACAGTAAATATTATCCACCCTTTTTAAACAAAGAATCGACATGTTTTTACGGTATTATTTGAAAGCAACGATAGTGTTGTAACTTCCGCGACATTAAAAAAAATTACAGCTGATGGTGAAGATGCTCATCATCAGATCGATCACAGTCGAGATCATAGAGACACGGTGAATTCTACGGTCTTTTCGATGGCTGCATAATATCTGCTTGCTTTGGGTTACATACCATTTTGAATTCAGACTTGTCCTTCTCCTAGACTAGTTACCAACCACTGCTAGAGGGAACAGTCTGCTTTGGATTTATGACTTTCCCAATGATATTTGTGCGAAAGTGAATGCAACGAACTCGACTGGAATTCGAACGCGGATCTCCAGTTTCTAGTTATGAGACACTAACAATTAATGTACTTGCATCATTATCTATCAACCGAGATGATAGATCGTGAAAATTCGTGATATGGCTGTGAAATCTGATCTACCGCAATTGGTGAGCCCTGAAATCGTCTCCAAAAATTTGCAATATTGAAATATCGAAAAATATCATCCTGTTGGGTCCTAAATAAAATTACAAGTTCCATCACCAGGGCATTGAGTTTCAGCTTTTAGAACAGCATAGGTAAGTAAATTGTAACTTTCTGGATTGACGATTGGTTTCCTTTTTACGGTTTATCAACCCTTTATGGGATATTTAAAGCCGAAACATATTTTGGGTTGTAAGAATATTTTTTATGAATGAATTTTGCATTAAAGCTTTGTTTAAAATAATCATTATTTTTTTCAAATACAAATTTTACTCTTTAACCTATAGAAGGGGGTGAGGGATTCATACCTTTCCCGAGTGTATTTACGCTTAAGTGAATGTAATCAACTTGACTGGAATTCAAACTCAGTTTGCCGATTTCTCATTTCCGGCCGCAATTTATTACACCACCTGCACACCCAATGGCAGTTTCTAGACACTTGAAGAGATTTAAGGTTATCTTGCTAACCACAGCCTTACTGTCAGGGGTCAGCTTCGGTCTTATATAGACTCTAAGAAAAAGAAAGATGAGCTGAAAAACATCAAGTAAATCTTAGCTTTTAAATATAACCCGAAATATATCGTTTCGTCGCCATAACATATTGCCAGTGTAGTGAAGCGTCTAGAATATTTTACACTCTGATTCGTTATCGATATTTTCTACTGTAGTATTATGATGGCTTGAAAGAATATAGAAAGAAGTAGTTGCCAAAGAAATAATAGATGGAGTCGGACACGATTGTGAGGTAAAGGAAAACTACATATGATTAATGAATGAATTGATTAATGTGAAATAGTATTAGCAGAATTCTGATTTGAAGATAAATGAAACGAATGCCATTCACAAGATAGATTCATAGATTTATGAATGGAACTTCAAAAATTCAATGTATTTTCAATCATATTTTTTTCGACTTAATTTTACCTTCAGCACTCGTTTTTACCCGTTTTTGGTATAAGAGAAGATTAAAGTGTTATTTAGGACGGAATGAACTCTTGAGACCTTGTCAGAAATGAATGGAATCGTCCGTTTATCTAAATAAGCGGAGTTAAGCGGAGTTAAGCGGCGTTGAAGAGAGTCAGCCTTAGGTTAATTACTAAGTGTACCTTCATGTAGTAAACCATTTATTTTATTACCTACGAGTTTGTCTTCCTTATTATTTCTCTCTATTATCCGGAAAACACGAGACACAAAAGATATAAAATAAAATGATATTTATTGTTAAGCATAAAGAACGAACTGATAAAAATTTCTGACTCAAAACGGCTGCTTGCGTTATTGAATGAATTGTTTAATCATCGATAATTTTACAGTGATTCTTTTGTTTACTTTTATACAAATCAATGAAAATGATATAAACACGTTGAATGCAACAGGAAAGCGAATATGAGAGCGTGAAACTCAAGTATCCACAGGAGCTTTGTTAACTGTGCTTTTTTGTCTCGGTAGTCTGAGTCTTGAGTACTTTTCTGGGTAGATAAATGTTTGCCTTTTGGTCTTTTCTTCTTTTTTCTTTCTTTGTTCCGTTTTGTTTTTTCTTATCTTAGGTTTTAGGTCCTTGGGCAAATTGCCTGGAGCGGGGGTAGACAAACCCAACCCCCTTATTACGGGGTCTACGGGGAATTTTTTGCAAGGGCCTACGGGCTCGGAAAAAAAACCCACGTTAAACCGACCATGTGGCACATCCAG